TTCCGTCTTCCCTTTCTATACCGACGCTAATCGCCCGGGTACAAAGGCGCGCGCCTCGCAGTCTTTCGGGGCCAAGCGGCTCGCCCCGCCCCGCTCGCCGCGCCACGCCGCGCACCTTCCCTCCTACTCGGGGCCAGCGAGGATATGAGCATTCCAGGGACTCCTGCCTGGAATGCGGGGCGTTCTCCAGGAGAGGTGGGCAGCGTGCGTCTCGGACGGCGCGCTGTCGTGCCGTGCCGTGCCGGCGCGGGCGGCGCGCCTGCTCTCGCCCGGGTTGCAGGAGGAGGAGCACTTTATGTAGGACCCAAGTTTGAGCCGAGATTCCTTCTCTACGGGGCGTTCAGGGCACGGCAGGGCCCGAGATGACATGTGAGAGGGGGGGGGGGGAGGAAGGGAAGCTAGGTAGACAAAGAGGGATGAGTGAGCGAGAATCAGCGGGGCTGAGGTTGGGGGGAGAGACAGGGAGAGGGAGAGAGTAATAGGGAGAGAATGAGAGGGAGAGAGTGAGCGGCGAAGGAGGAAAAGGGGGTTACAGGTACGGGATACTTAGGTAGACGGTTGGACTAAAAGCCCGGCGCTTCCTCCAAGGCAGTCGAGTTGGGTGCACACGGACTTCCATAGCGATATGCAGGAAGGCGGGTCCCGCCCGGCGGACCAGCGCACCCCAGTAATGCGTATATCCTCGAGGAGCTTTGCGTGGCTGGCTGCTGGCCACTAGCCTCCGCCTGCACCCCCCCCCCTGCCCCTCACCCGCACCGTCTCAGACCGCCACTTTTATCATCATGGTTGTCTCTATATGGCCGGGGAAAACCGCTGATGGGTTTCTGCCCCCCGCCCCAATTCCCTCTTCCCTCTTTTATCCTCCCCGCTGTCTCTCTCTCTCTCCCTCTCGCCGTAGAAAACAGGGTCTTGTATCTCGTATCTCATAAATATGACCCGTCAAACTTGCCCGCCCGAGACTGGGGGGTAGAGCAAAGCGCTCTGACCCCAACCCTCGCAGCCCTCCCTTCCGCTTGGCCGGGTCGGGCGCCAACATCGTCTCTCGCGCAGTGGAGCTGTCCGGCCCGTGTCGTGTCCCCGCACCTGCTAGAAATGCAGCAGACGGGACGACAGGTTGAGGGAGCGGGGGAGCCTCGGTTCGTGTACCAAAATCAAGCCGCCAGAGACTGCAATTCGCCCCGGTGACACTGGCGCACTAATCCTATCATTTATTCCTGGTCTGGTTTATCCCCGTACATTGGGCTAAAAGCCCTGCAAAGTTTCCGTAAAATTTCAGGAAAGAACGGAAAATTTCCGTGAAAGAAAGGAAAAACTCCCAGTTCTCGGAAATTTTTGGGAATTATCCGAAAATTTTCTGGTTAATTTTGGAAATTTCTAACCCTACCCGTATACATAACTGAGCCATATACACGGCGCAGTACACATGGCAGCCGGAAATACCAGGTATCGTTCAGTTGTTGGCTGGACTAAAGCCGCCCAGCTGCCAGATGCCGGGCACCCCGCCCCGCAGCAGCAGACTTGCTGTGTAGACACGGAGCGCCTGACCGGTAGGCCGATCTGTTTCGCCGGCGTGCGCTGCGGGCCTGCCTAGCCGCCGCTTCGCAGGCGCCCACACCGCTGTGTCCCGTCGCCGCACCGCCCGTCTCTCAGGACTCGCGGGTATCGGCTAGAGTCGGCTAGTCTACCGTGGGAGGAGTCACCAGAGTCCGCGACAACCTACAATTAGGTCTGGAAACCCTGGGGAAAGTTTCTGGAAATTTTCTGGAAACTTCCTGGAAAAAAGGAAAATTTTCGGGAAAAAAATTTGAAAATTCCCAACACTTTGGAAGTTTTCCGTTATTTTACGGAAATCATCGGGAATTTTTGAAAAAATTTCCGGAAAATAAATTACCAGCGCTAGGACAAAATCCTGTTTTAAAATGTCCTGTAAATATTGAACTTGTGCGCAGCAGTGACTATCGATGCGAGGCTTCGTCGTCAGGACCGCGGGCTCGTGCCCCGACTGCTCCAATGTTGTCCAGTTTTATTCGTGGAGTGTTGCGAGAGTACTTGCTTTTCCTCTTCCCAGTTAATGGAAACGAAACGTCGGTCGAGGCGGAAAGGGCTCTGATGGCGTCGATAGCAAGGAAAAGGGACAGGGATACGGCTTCGACTGGGGGGGAGAGCGGGCGGGTAGACATGCTTCAAACAAACAAGTGTCATTATGACTAGCTTTGGAGGCCGGCAGTGTGTTTCTATCGGCCGGCTGGCGACGCGGAGGGGGAGGGAGAGAGAGAAAGACAAAGACAAAGAGAGAGTGAGTTTGCAGGGCGAGACGCGGGGCGCACTGGAAGGCAAGAGCACGGGTTCAACAGCGACTGTTGGTCGAACTCAGCGTGCCGTCTGCCGTCACAGTTGTTGCGCGACTGTGACTTTTGAGATCATTCAGGCAGTACGTACCGGGTGTTGCATAAAAGACACAGGGGCGGGCGGGTTTGCCTACCCGCTCTGCCCCAAGGGGCCATAGCCCCTTGGGTAGGCAAACCCGCCCGCACCTGTGTCTTTTATGTAACACCCGGTACGACGAAGCACGGAAGCTCAGCGCCTGCGATACTCAGGGTAGGCCAGCCCGCAGTACACGCATGCACCGCAGGCGAGATGTTGCCTACGCATCAGGCGCCATGGGAGTTGCACTGGCTGAACTTAAACGGGCAGTGTCTGGTCTGGGTGACCCCTTGTGTCACATGGGGTCAAAGAACTGCCTTGGATAAGTCACGTTCGATTGAACAGGGTTGAACATTGAACGCAGACGGAGAAAAGTACGAAGAAGTGAAGAGAAGGATCCAACGAATTGAGCGAGTCTGCGGATGCGGCAAGTGGCGGCGGGCAAAAGGGGGGGG